CTACTAGTAACAGGTGCCTTACTAGTAGGAACAAGAAGCTACTAGTAACAAGTGCCTTACTAGTAGTAGCGATCGGATGCTAGTATGTCCTTGAAGCTTTCTAGCAACTAGAAGCTACTAGGTGGAGGCCATTATTAGGAGCAAGGACGCTATTTGGTTGGAGGCCATCGCTCTTCGGGTGGAGGCCATACTTACACAGGTTCTCTTTGACATTCTTTCACCCTTTGCCAGTTTTCATCCGTATGCTGTAGGCGGAGAGCCCTGAAAGGAGGTTGGTGGATCGCTGGCTTTGGTGGGAAGCTTGGAGTCAAGAGAAAAGAGCGCCGATGCTTCTTGTTCGTAGCAGTAAGGCCAGGAGCCCCTAGTAGCGCCCTTGCTACTAGTAGCGATGCCCTTTGTTCCTAGTAGCTTCTTGTTCCTAGTAGTAAGGGCCAGGAGATGCCAGGAGCCTTCAAGGTTTGTCCACATTCCAACTTGGATTGGACAGAATCCTGATCTGAGATGCCACTGAAAGCTGCCTCACCATACCGTCCTTTGCCCAGGTGTTGGCCCAACTTGTATGAGGGGCAGGCCAGGGCTCATAGTGCTCATATAGTTTGATGAGCTAGGCCCAAGCTAGGCGCGTAGGTGTGTGTAAACCCTCGTGGGTCGAGCTCGAGCCCGAGCCAAGGCGTGCTGCTTGTACAACGTTCTCTTCAGTCCCATCCTTTTGACCATCCATGCTACGAGGACGGACAGGATTTAAAACGTTTGAGAAGGGAGAACAAAGTAGGTTTGTTTAGCTGCAGCCTCTTCGCATTTGTGCTTTGTCCTGCCCCATGCCTCTCTTTCCTTATAGCTAGACCGGCATAATTGCTACTCAATATGCTGTTGTTCCTCCCTTCTCAGGCTTGACTTCGTTTCGAAAGAAGGCTCTGATCAGGCGTTAGGATAGCTGTCAGGATCAAAGGACGGCGCAGTAGATGTGTGTCGTTACGTCGTTCGCTCTGCATGTGCTCTGAGCATCTTTCTTGTGCTTTGGGCCCCACAGCAGCTTTATGGGGTGCGGATGAGCTCGGAGACCGGGGAGCTTCGCACCACGGCGGTCAGGTTGGAGGCCTTAGGGCCATCACGGCCGCTAGGTTTCCGCGATCGGGCCGCAGTGCCGAACAGAGGTTTTGTGCCAGGTGGGAACGCACAAGATGGGAACGCGCACCTCGTCGCCTATCATACATACAGCATCTTGGAACCATTTTGGTGGTCTAAGTGCTATGGGTGCAACCAGCCTCGAAGAGGAAAGGGTTCACCTGCCTTGCAACCATTGGGAAGGGGAGAAAGCTTGAGACAAGAAGGCCAAGGTGACAAGCAGGAGGACTGGGACACCTTGTCTGAATGGAGAAGCTGCTGTGCCGAGCGTGTGTGCTGACGTTTTCGCCACAGATCCTTAGTGATTGTAGGAATGAACAGTTAATCCTCAGTCGTTTCAGTCCACACCACCACCACTCTGAACTAAAGGGTCGCAGAACCCTTCACTCTCCTTGTTAAACACGATATGAAACGATGGCCTCCTACCTAAATGGAATGTCCTCCACCCTAGAAGCGGTGGCCTCCAACGTAAGAGCGATGGCTATTGGGGGTTCACAGTGCACAGTGCATTTCTTTACAGTTCCGAGACCCCTTCTGCTAGCACAACGCCACAGCGCCACACCACCCCCACAGCGCCAGCCAGCTCGCAGTGCACACTCCCAACATCTCCCAACCTCTAAAAAATCCCGTGCCGTGTGAGTTTTCAGATGTCCAACCTTGTAAAACGGTCCTCGAAATGTTTATCCTTGGCTTTGATGATGTTCTTCGTTGGACTGCTTCCCGTGAACTGACATTTTTTGTGGCATTTATCTCGAGGGTGATATCTGCGTCCGTGCGACATGCGTTGCTGATGCAAACCCATATCGGCTGTGGCCGTTTGCTGAGAAAGCCGATTTGAAGGATATATTTGCCAAGCTGTTTGAAAGCCTACGTTTGGCGGCTTTACTGGGTGTGTTGCGGCTGCTGCTCCAAGCTCTTCACAGATGAGGAGAACTTGTTTGAAATTTTCAAGAATCCACCGTGCGTAGCTTCTTGTGACTAGTAGTAAGACTGCTCCTAGTAGCGATGCCAGGAGCCCCTACTAGCGTCCTTGCTCCTAGTAGTAAGGCCAGGAGCTCCTAGTAGCTTCCTTGTTACTACTAGTAAGGCCCTTGCTCCTAGTAGCGATGCACTTGTTCCTAGTAGCTTCCTTGTTAACAGCGATGAAGTCCTTGTCCTCGTTTTCGAGTCGATTTGCAAGGAGTTTCCGCCTTCGGCAGCCTCCCTTGGTACGGCCGTTTGGGCTCTTTTTACTACTAGTAAGGCACCTGTTACTACTAGCGTGGCACCTGTTACTACTAGCGAGGCACTTGCCTTCACTCCTTGCACTTTGTATACGCATACGCCAGGTGGGTGGTGACAGCGCGAATGCCACTTCGGGGAAAGACAATTCCAATGTCGTTTGGGTCAGAACCTCAGGGCATCGCTACTAGGGCTCCTGGCATCGCTACTAGGAGCAAAGGACGCTACTAGGGGCTTCTGGCCATACTAGTAGGCACGGCAGAAAAACAAAACAATCCGAGTCACATACGACATTTTTGTTGCGCCGTGTTCACCAAGGTGCGAGCTATGGACTTTAGCAGGCTAAGACTGATATGAAGTGTTGCATGTTTTGCAAAGCTGCATTTTGCTGACATCGCTACTAGGGTGGAGGTCGTCGCTATTAGGTTGGAGGCCATCATCAAAAAAGGCTTAGTTTAGAAGTCATAGCTTTTAGGGTTTGGAGATAGGCGGCCACCGGTCGAGGCAGGATTCTGCCAAGCCAACCCATCCTACGCTTGGGGACTCTCACATGTGCTTGTTCGAGGGCAGCATTGAGGCCACAGTTTCATCAGACGTATATCAGACGTGTCTCACATTCATAGAGCAATTGCATTAATTAAGCATAGTTGACGGGCCATTATTAAGCATAGAGCGTATTGATATGCTTTGAGACATTCTTTAGCACTCTCCGTATGGTCAAAGTGTGGTGATCTTGAGCCCCAGGCCCAGGACATTTTGCAAGGTGCGCTTGGAGACTGTTGGCTACTAGCCGTGCCTTGACGTGGACGTGAGCTGACGTGAACTGACGTGATTGGTTGAAAAATCGTTACTTCCCAGTAGCGACGGCCTTCATCCTAAGAAAACATGTGTGTTTACTCAGTTTACTCCATTCATTGTCTCCATCCTGGACTCGTTGCAACAAGGCCATGGCCACCCTGGCAGAGCATGAGGGGGCCATCAACTCGCTTTTCGCGGAGACCTGTGCCCGGCGACTTGGTGCTGCGCGCGCCTGATGCGCCCGCCATGCTGCACACTAGTAGCGTCCTTGTTACTACTAGTAAGGCACCTGTTACTACTAGCGTGGCACTTGTTCCTAGTCGGCTTCTTTGCACTCTCAAACATCGGCTTCTTGTTCGTCCTAAGCATGCTCCGTTCGTAGTACGGCCAGGAGCCCCGAACGTAGCGTCCTTTGCTCCTAGTAGCGATGCCAGGAGCCCCGTTCGTAGCTTCTTGTTCCTAGGCCCCTGGCATGTTACACATTTTTGATAAAGAAGTGAGCACTTTCTTTGTGTGCTCTGCATCCTACAGATTTATCATTTGACAGACGGCTCGGGCTCCTGAAGGAATGAACATGAATCGTACGAGAGCATGCAAATGAATGTTCTCCATATATCCCTTCACATTGTAGCTTTTGCCCCCCAGCGAACCTGGAAGTGAATCTAAGTGTGAACGAATGCGATGTGCCAGTATGTGCCAGTCTTGGGTTTGAGCATCTGGGAAAGTTTTACTCAATCAATGCTGGCCTTACTACTTTACTAGCAACAAGAAGCTACTAGGAACAGGAGCATCGCTGCCGCAACTAGTAACAAAGGGCATCGCTACTAGATGCTTGCCGGCACTTTAGAAGTTGGCCAGAACATTCAAGTTTTTTTGATGCGGGAACTGTTGATCAACGCAGTATGCAACAAATCCGCCTACCTTTCGTCCACCCTTTTTGCCTTCAAACTCCAGAGGGGAAAAAAGGTCTTTGCACCCTACACTCTGTCATTCTGGAAATTAAGTTGTGCAGCTCACACCTGCCAGTCCCTATCGTTTGCAGATTGCGAGCGCCACCTCTCCCTAAAAACGATGCCAAAACGGTAAGCAGGTTCAACAGAATCCTGAAGACTGCATACCACAGATTATAGAACAATGCCCACCGGCGATACTGCGGTGTTGGGAGGCCAACACTGGGATGCACTGGCCCTGCTTCTCCATGTGAATCTGGTGTTAGTTCAGTATTATTCTCAGTGAACCTGTTGGTGATCCACTATTTACAGCGCCGAGCCACCAAAAGAGGATAGAGATGGTTCTATCAGTGGCTCCTGGCCATACTACTAGGAGCAATGTTCGCTACTAGTAACGAAGGGCATCGCTACTAGGAGAAAGGACGCTACTAGTAGTATGGTTCTATCAGATTGCTCTGGCGTGAGCTGACATTCGCCCAACACACACCGATCCCGGCATTCCTGGCCCCTTACTACTAGTAGCTCCTGGCATTACTAGCAACAAGAAGCTAGTAACAAGGGCATGTCGACTGGTAGCAAGAAGCTACTAGGGTGGAGGCCATCGCTATTATTAGCAAGAAGTTACTAGTAACAAGGTGCATCGCTACTAGTATTGGCGTTTTTGCAAACGATAAAACAAAGGCCTCCCGTCCGCCCAAAATGGACGGCAGTCGAAAGCTTTGTTCCATGTTTTCAAAGCAACTACTGATAGGTCGCTAGTAGTAGCGAAACTACTAGTAGTAATTCCCTTGTTACTAGCTTCTTGTTCGTAGTAATGCCAGGAGCTACTAGTAGCTTCCCGCTACAAGTGGCAATGCCACACAAAAAGAGATTGACGGATATTTTCCAACTGTGGAGAGAAAAACTCTGCCAAAATTATCACCAATAATCAGACACATTGCGCCAGCGAGGCCATATCCAAGCCTTTGTGTGTTGCTTTAAACAGATCAAATGTCCAAACGTGCGACTTCACCACCTGCGACTTTTCTACAAAAGACTCCAGAAAGGATAGTTTTCAAAGGCTCCTGGCCATTGCTACTAGGAGCAAGGACGCTACTAGGGGCTCCTGGCCTTACTGCTAGGAGCAAGAAGCTACTAGGATCAACAGGCATTACTACTAGCAAATAGCTACTACTGGCGATGGCCTCCAACCCAAGAGCGATGGCTTCCAACCTAGTAGCGATGGCCTGCTACTGTGCATTTGTTTCTCTAAGCTTCCTTTGGCTACTCCCCCCAGGCGCTCAATAGGCCTGGGCTTTTTCAGAAGCAGTTATATGAAGGATGTTCGATTCTGGATGAATTTGAGGCAGCTAGGTCCAGTGCTTTGGGAGTCAAATGGGTTTTCAGAGGGAAAGGGAGCATATAATTTGCAATGGGACCGTAGGAATAGGGGATTTATAACATTTATATGAGGGATTGGTAAATTTGACCAAGAAGTTGGCCAAACTGCGGTCTCTTCACGTTTGGAAGTTAAGTTTACCCGAACAAAACTAACTTGTTTTAAACACAGCATTTTAAGCATGTTTGTTGCTTGTACGGAAAAACATATATCTTCTTCTTCTTCACTTCTCAACGTGAGGTGCAGCCGAACGGCAAGTATCACGTGAAGCTCTTCGATCCTCAGTTGAAGCAATGGACGGACTCTTGGTACAAAAAGATTCCTTAAAAGAGAAAGAACAATGTATATTGAACATATATTTACTGAGGTTTTTCTTAGGGAAACGTGTTTCAGAAGACTGAGATCGCCCCCTGTTTTGGCTGATTCTGTTTTCATATGTTTGGCTTGCGGCCTTCCAATCTTCTCGAGTTTTATGTGCGAGTTTCTTCCCTTGCAGATTGTGACTGTCAATGTTCTTGTTGATGTTTTGAGGGGGCAAGTGCGTAATCGCCATGTCGATGTGTGCCAAGTGGAGAGTATTTGTTGGGAACGACCAGCCAGATGAAATAAACCCAAGCCCGAACAGCTGGGCATGAGTCCACCTACTCGGCAAAGGCAACAGTGGCAACATCGCAACCTTCAACAAATGATGCTTTTTTGTTGACACTACATGTCTTTTTTGTGTGACCCTTTTCACTATGCACTATGCCGCGTGAGCATTACAGCAACATGTCAACTCAGCGCGTCCCAGCATGTCCCAGCATAAGACGTCATTAAAAAAGAAAAAAACAGTTTGGCAGCATGCTGCGGTACCTTCTCCAAAGTCTTCTTACTACTATGACCGCTGAAGACCTTCAAGCTTCGCTGTTGAGGAATAACACATCAAGAAGCAAATGCTTTGCCGTCACCAATTTGTTGGCTGTAGCATTGCAGCTATGCAATTTTTTGTCCTTTTTGTTCGCTAGTAACTAGTAGGTTGGAGACCAACGCTGTTAGGGTGGAGGCTATCGGTAGTAGATTCCATAAAATTATGTATAAAACATATGAAAACCCATACTTTCCCAGCGATCCTTCGTTCGATACGTTCGTCCTAGGTGATTTGCATCGATGACTTCGTCCCCTGTGTGGCGGACCCACGGGATCCAGAAAAAGCCGCGATGGAGGATGGAATGCCCAAGGCGGAGCAAAGGGCATCGCTACGAACGGAGCGATCGGACGCTACGAACGGGGCTCCTGGCATCGCTACTAGGAACAAGAAGCTACGAACGGGGCTCCTGGCCGTACTACTAGGAGCAAGGACGCTGCTAGGAGCAAGGTTAGACAGGATTTAGACAGGTGGAAAAGCCAAATGCCATGGGAAGAATAAAGGATTAGGGAAGAAAGGTCATCGCTCTTAGGTTGGAGGCTACCACTAGTAGTTTGGAGGCCATGGCTATTGGGTTCCTTAAGGTTTCCTTTAAGTTCTTTTGTAGATTGATATCTAACTTGGGAGCTTCCTTGAAGAAGTGGTTTCTCGATTCGTAGGGAAACTTTACTGAATTGTGGGGTTCTGCTACCGGGTCCCTTTTTGATCAAGGAAAACGCACTGGAAGAAAGTGGTTCCATAACCAAACACTTCAATGTGTCAAAGGTGAATCAGCTTGACAAGTCACCTCGTACGCAATTTTGTGATGTGTGCGCATGTGGGAGCTGAAACTTGGTGCGGAAAGTTTAGGTTGGGGGCCATCGCTAGTAATTGGGTTGGAGGCCATGACTGTTAGTTTCCCTAAAAATCCTCTAGGTTGGCCTCCTCATTCAGCCAAGATATCAATCACCAAGACAGTTGGTGGAATTGACATAGCTAGGCAGGCCATTTTCCCATAAACCATTAGGTTGGAGGCCATTGCTTCTCCATCGCTAGTAGGTTGGAGGCCATCACTAGGTTCCTTTAAGGTTGTCTTTAGCTTTCCTTTATAGTTGTTTTTGTCGTTTGTTTTCCAGCTTCGATTCAGAGTCCCACCGCTTTTTCGAAACACCGTTCCATGCTCACTATCAAAGCCAAACCCTATTGACATCCTGTCTAACCTTGCTCTTAGTAGCGTCCTTGCTCCTAGTAGTACGGCCAGGAGCCCCGTTCGTAGCTTCTTGTTCCTAGTAGCGATGCCAGGAGCCCCGTTCGTAGCGTCCGATCGCTCCGTTCGTAGCGATGCCCTTTGCTCAATGCGGCTTCAGACACCTGTGCACGTTTTCGCTGCCCACTGGGCGAGCGCCAATCATTGGACGATGCGAGCGAGAGTTGGAGGCTCTTTATGCTCATCCGCATGGACGAGAAATCTGGGTCATGCTTTTGGAGAAGGTGACAGCTGACAGCCTCAGACTGTGACTAGCACGGTGTTTTAGGTTTAGATGGAAAACTGAGCTGCCAACGCTGGGCAGGCTTTCGCAAAGCTATGCGGTAGCTATGCAGCAACAGAGGTGGACAAATTGTGATTGTGACGTTGCTTTGCTTTTCTCGGCATGTTGTTATGACGCTGAGACAGAGGCTGTCGTGTCTAAACATCATGTAACAAAGCTATTAGGTTGGAGGCCATCGCTAGTTTTCTCAAGTTTCCTTTCTCAGGCAGGCATCACAGAGTGGGCCATTTCTGCTATGACGGGCGGCAATGCGTGGCGCTATGAGCGGACGGAGAGACCCACAGGGGGGAATTCTGTCGTGCTCCTAGTAGCAATGCCCTTTGCTCCTAGTAGCGTCCTTGCAACCTCTCTGATTTGGTACGGGTAGGCAGTGAGGCTGGGTTCAGTAGGGCGAAGGACTAGGTGCGGATTCACATTTCTAGACATGTTTGCATGCAAAAAGACCTCAGGAGTCGACTTGGGAAAGGATGGATTTGGTGACACAGATCTCCAAGGTGCCTATTGTGAGTAACTCTTTTATGAAAAGAACTCTTGATTCGAGACACAGTTGTCCATGAAGAGTCGGGTTATGTCATCCATCATTTTGCTGCAAACGCTTCTAGGTTGGAGGCGATTGCTAATAGGTCGGAGGCCATCGCTAGTAGGTTGGTTCATTTTTGTTCGATCGTGGTGGCAGAGCGGTAGGACAAACGGGCGTGTGCTTTCAAGCCCTCGGATGAAAAACATGAGGATGAGGACAGCGTAGGACAGTTTGATAGGACGCTTTGAGGACTCCTTTCGAAGTTGCTTTTCATTCCTTGCTGGAAACATTCCTTTCGAAGGTCTGTTCACATGTTTCCAGCTGGCCAGGATTTTTTCCAGCTTCTTCGACATTATCACCGACAGGGCGCCGTTCTATGTGCTGGCCTTTGTTTGTTCGGTTGTACAGAAGCACCATGCCCCAAACACGTTCAAACCCAAACATCAAAAGTGCGGATCAAGATTGGCTGAAACATTGCGAGCCGCCCCGTGGAAAGAAAGGTGGTTTAAAGAGTTTGGCTGACCAAAGCCACCAAAACCGGCGAAATGCCAACCGTAGGAGCAAGGATGCTACTAGGGGCTCCTGGCATCGCTACTAGTAACAAGAAGCTACTAGGGGCTCCTGGCCTTACTACTAGAAGCAAGAAGCTACTAGGAGCAAAGGCAAGAACGTTCGATGCGAGCTGGTTCCGGTCGATAGCGCATGTGGAGCTTCATCGTCCATTTAAAGTCTTGCATCGTGCCGACTGGCCCTACAGTTGGAACTCCATCGGCCGAGGTAGGTCAGGCAGTTAGATGTAGTTAGTAAAGACCAGTGACTAGGCAGCTACTAGCTACTAGGACGCTACTACATATGGATAGAGGATAGCTCACGCTTCTATTCATTTGGTTCCTAGATTTGGAGGTAAGCTGAAGCTATTAATGTGGAGGCCATCGCTATTAAGGGAATAAAGGTGAAATTTAGGTTGCTAAAGTAGATGAGCACAGCAAATGATCAACAACATATGTCTAGTGAGCAATGAAAGGAAAGAGAGAATGGCGACAAAGGATCAGGTACCTGCAGAGCCAAAAGAGAACGAAATGGTAGAAATGTTGGACGCAGCAAAGGTGGGCCCTATCAGCACCGACCAGAGGACAATGAACGGAGGTTTGCAACACATCAAAGACTTAGGCGACGGCATGCAATATTTGGTGGTGTGGAGATACGATGGGTCACCTTGAAACAATCTGTCGTGGCAGGCGCAATGCATTGGGACCAACCAAAAGCCACCAGATTCAGAAGGCGCCAGAAAATATACAAAGAGAGCCACCGCTAGTAACAGGAAGCTAGTAGTAGCGAAGGGCATCGCTACGAGGACTAGGAGGGACGCTACTAGGGTCTCCTGGCATCGCTACTCGGAGCAAGAACGCCCCATCAATGAAGGGCACCCAGAAAGTGACAAGGACCAAGGCGACCGGGTAGTTTTTATGTTTGGGGGAGTGTTTGGGGGATATTCGCAGCGAAGACCACGATTTTTTTAGGATTTAGACCAATGGACTGCGAGACCAGCCAACCAGGAAAAGGACTAGGGGACCGAAGGACCAGGGGACCCACTCTAACAGGATTTTTGTTTGATCCTGCTTGTTCACGTTAATATGTGTTTTCTTTTAAATCTAGATGCTTGGTGCGCGCGATTTGCTTCCACCCCTCCACAAAGTCGGTTGGTCCGCTGATTGGAAATGTGTTTTGACTCGTTTTCCTTCCCCTCATCCGCGACGATATGAGGTTGTGGAGGCGTGCAAGCTGCCGGACAAAAGCAAGGCAAGGCACAAATTCAGAACGCAAACCCACAAACCTTTTGTTTGCCATCGCTATTAGGAGCAAGGACGCTACTAGGGGCTCCTGGCCTTACTGCTAGGAGCAAGAAGCTACTAGGGGCTCCTTTGGGTTGGAGGCCATCGCTAGTAGGTCTTGTGCCGAAGTTCGCCCCGTAGGTCTTGTGCCGAAACATGCATTTTCCCTGCTTCAGGCGGCAGGGGGCGGGACTGAGAATGGTTCCGGTATCGTTGGTGGGATTTTTGAACACTTTTCAGCAGTCGCAGAAACTCTGTGGTTGGCTCGGGCGCTTGCCGCGACCCGCGACTGGGCTCTCGTTGTAATGCCTTGCACATTTTTGCAGGTAGAGGCCATCACCATTAGGTTGGAGGTCAACGCTACTAGGGTCGAGGCCATCGCTAGTAGAAGCAAGAAGCTGTTAGGAACAAAGGGCATGGCTACTAGGAGCAAGGACGCTATTAGGGGCACCTGCCATTACTAGGAAGAAGCCTACTAGCAGGAGATGCATGGGAACGGTCTTACTTGGACGTGATTTCGTGGCGGGAGCACGTGCTGAGTGTTACTCGAAGTGAATTTCATCCTTTACCCAACTCCACCCCGCCCCACTGTGTGTGTGTATGCGCAGATGAGTTTTGATGGAAGTGCACTTTGAAAGGCAATCAATTGGTGTGTGTGTGTGTGTGTGTCGTAGGGTTCCAGCCTCCTCGATTGCAGTTCTCGCCTTTGATCACCGCCTTGAAGACCCCAGCAGACATCCCACCACCCTTCTGTGTTTTCACAGCCCCTGTTCCATACAAAGCGGAACAACGTAGCGATGGCCTCCAACCTACCAGCCATGGTCTCCAACCTAAATAGCGATGGCCTCCATCGAAGATTCTAGGGAGGCAACCACAAAAATGTACTAAGTACATATGATGTGGCATGCACAACAAACCAGAAACCAAAACAACATCAAGCGCAGCTGTCAACCCGAAGCAAAGGACCGCATTCTATTGTCGTAATTGAAGCACCTTCAATATACCTCAGCGTGTTTTTCCAAGTCCGGATGAGGTTCGAGGTCGAAAGAAGCCGCCTGCCGTTTCGGCCATTGAGTCGCCGGACTGCAGAATTAGTAGCTAGAACAACTACTATGTTGGAGGCCACCGCTAGTAGCAAGAAGCTACTAGGGGCTCCTGGCATTACTAGGAGCATTCTTACTACTAGTAAAGAAGGCCATTACTACGAAAGAAGCTGACGTTTCTCCAGGTTCGAGCGGTTCCGGTGAACTGGCATTCCAACGAGTACTTCCGTGCGCCACCGAGATCGGGCATGTCAGTTGGAAATGGAGAACCCCGGAATCGCTCCACGCAGCATGATGCCAGGCATGGTGCAAATTCGAAATCCTTGGGGTACTGGAGTTCCAAACTCGGTTGGAGGCGATTGCTACTAGGTGGCAGGCCATCGCTATTAGAAACAACGAAAAAAGACAAGGAAGAAAGGTCCAATATAGGCCATTTAGGGCGCTCTTTCACCTCCACCGAGGAATGGAAGGGGTCTTGGTGTGATGGATCACCACTATGGATGAAATACCCGTGCCTTGGTAGCAACTGCTGACAGCGACTGCTGGACACCATTTTTGGCAGCATTCGAAATTGTTCTTCCACTAGGTTGGAGACTAGGTTGGAGGCCATTGCTAGTAGGTTGGAGGCCGTCGCTCTTAGGGCGGAGGCCATAGCTATCAGAAACAAGAGAACAAGAAGAGGATGCAATTGTTCTTCTTCCGCAGGCATGTGCAAAGTGCGTTGGATTTCTCCAGCAGTTTTGGCCTCAAAACTCGACAGGGGTTCAAGACTGGACAGGCGTATTCAGTTTAAAGCTGGACTATTCAGCAATTTGAAGTCTGAAGTGTCAGGAGATGATGGGACTTACTGGATGCAATGGGAGGATTTTTGCAAGTTCTGGGGCTATGTGGGTTGCTTCTTGGACGGAACGCATATTGACAAACAGACAGCTCAGCGACCAGTCATGCCCGCCAGAGAGAGAGAGAGAGAGAGCGGGATGTCATAATGGATCTTTTCCTTTTCTTGTTCCTTTGCTTCTAATAGCAATGCATTTAATGGCCTCCACCCTAAGAGCGATGGCCTCCACCCAAATAGCAATGGCCTCCACCCTAAGAGCGAATGCCTCCATCCTAATAGCGATGGCCTCCAACCTAGTGGAAGAAACATGAGGAAATAACATGTTTGAAGGGAGTTGTGGACCAGGGCATGGATACATCACACATTCCATTCATTGCAGTTTGTTGGCTTGAGGCGTTGACATCGGCACCAGCATTTTCTCTTTGAGGCACCGCATGGAAGCAGGGCCCCAAACAGAATTAAGCAAAAACGTTAAGAACCGCATTTGTAGCAACAAGAAGCTACTCGGGCTCTAGGCATCGCTACTAGGAGCAAGTGCAGACTAATCAGAGTGAAACGCAGCTTGCCAGAAAGCACCACAGATCGCCCATCCACGCGCACCATTCCAAACCACGCCACGCATCACAGTTCGTGGGAACAGACACCTGGGAGCAAGGACGCTACTAGGGGCTCCTGGCATCGCTACTAGGAGCAAGAAGCTATTAGGAACAAGTGCATCGCTTCTAATAACAAGTGCCACGCTAGTAGTAACAGGTGCCTTACTAGTAGTAACAAGGACGCTACTAGGAGCAAGGACGCTACTAGGGGCTCCTGGCCTGAAAAGATCGAAGCACTTGTCCCTTATCACAACTTGTTCCGACACGCCCCTTTTTCGCCCATCCAGATCCTTCAAGTATGTTCAATAAACAAGAGCGGTCAAGCCTTTTTGCGACTGCCGTGGCTTCAAGTGTGCCGCCTTGACAAGAGTCCAAAGATTCCAAAGCTCAAAGTCAGACTCCCTTTCCCTTTCGATCCCTTTCTGCTCAAGTTTGATTTGTAGTCTAGAACTTTATTTTCCCCTTACTTCTGAAAGCCAACTGTTGAGGCCGCCGCTCATGTCGGATGCAGATCCGGCCAGCCCATTCAAGGACTTCGGTGTTTGTGAATTGGTGGGGAGAAGGCAACAGACTAGTAGCTTCTTGTTACGTTCGTAGTAAGCATGCTCCTAGTAGTAAGGCCAGGAGCCCCGAACGTAGCGTCCTTTGTTCCTAGTAGTAAGGCACTTGTTTCTACTAGCTT